CCCCCCCCCCCCCCCCCCCGCCGCCTCCACTCTCCGCAGCCCCCGCGCCGGCAGGCCACAAAAAAGGAAAGGCAAAAACCAGAAGGCCAAGCAATGCACCCCCGGTGCCTAAATCCACCCCGTCATTCGGCCATGGCCGTTGGGCGGTTGATCACACCTCTTAAATCCGCCCCCTTGATCGGCGATAGTGGTTGAGCCTATGTAGTTGGCGATATGGATCGATTCAAAATTTGTCACATTGAATCCTTGCCCCTCATTAAGCCGTGGTCATGGTTTTTGATCCCATTTCTCAAGCCCTTTTCTCATGTGCGATTGTTTGCAGTTGTCGTCGTGGTCGGTCGCGGTCGTATTGCTGGCCTGTTGTTTGTGTTTTTTTTGTCGTCCTCGGTGTGTAAGCAATGTTCGAGCTGTTGTTGCTCAAGGATCCGACTCAAGGTTTGGAGGATCTTTTGGCGAAACGGCCGGGTCTGTTCCGAAACTCGGGCCCAAAACTATGATCCGAAACCCGGGGCACGCGATCCGAAACTAGAACCCCGAAACTGTGAGCACCCAGCGGGTTGTGAGAATAGCAAGATGTGGCCAGGCCTGCGCAGCGGCTTCTTTGGCTGCTGGCGATGGCTATGCGCAACTCGGCACTGTACTAGTCGAAAAGTGTGCCCGGACTTCCCCCAGCGAAATAAGGGCTTAGTTTGGTGGAAGGGACCCGGCAAACTCCATAATTTCAGGGATTGTGTCGAAACGCTTTGCTGGGTAAAGCTTTCGGGCTGGTGGGAAAGCACCTGCCAAAGAACTTTGTTTGGAGTCGATTGACTATCCCAAAAATCAAAACAAAGATGCCGGGACCCTGCAACCACGTGGATGTGCCACGCAATGAAGAGGTTCCCGCAGAGGCTGGCCAAAGAGAAGGTGAAGGAGGTGACTTTGAACCTCGAGGTCCGCTCAACGGACAACGATAATTGGTTTCTTTCAGGATGCCTGTTGAGAGGGCTTTGCGGATCTGGCGAACTTCGCTTACCTGACGCGATCTTCCTGCAAGACATTGCGGCTGGGCTCAGACAAAGCCAGTAGCCGAGTCATGCGCTCGGGTGGCCATGTGATTCAGGAAGGACGTGGACGACGTGGAGATGTTCGAGAGGCGGATCCATGCCAAGAGCTCGAAGAGCTCCTCTAAAAGCTCAAATCTTGCATAGCATGCATTCTTGCTTCTGAGGCCATGCAGACGATCGGGATTCCGCACGAAGAAGTGACGCAGATCCTGCGGATGGTCGCCTCGGCACTGGCCTCGGCGATTCGGAGAGCAGGTCGGCTTCGGCCGTCAAATCACTCAGGTGCTCCACTTGGGCAACGTGAAGTTTGATGCTCCTCCGAACAACAGCGAAGGCAGCGAAGCGAGACAGAATTGGGAAGAGAGAGAGGACGGGTACAGAGACTTCGTGCCGCAATGTTCGTTGTCAAAGCAGCTACGGCATGCGGGCCTTGCATGAGCAGGGCGCCGCTCGAGCTTGCTCGAGCGCACGCCGCGAGTGCGCGCGTTCTTTTCCAGGGTGCGCTCATCACTTGACACCTAAACCAAGAAGCCCTGATCTTGAAAAGCTGGGGCTCTGGAAGTTAGTAAGTTAGAAGCCTTAAGTCGAACATGATGAGATGCCATGTGTCCTCAGAGAAATGGAGGCTTGGCCCTTCTCCAGGTTTTTACAAAGGCGGTCCTTGGCCTCTGCCTGGGTCACTGCGTCAAGGGCTTTTTCGGGTGTGCTGGTGTATGCCAGCTCCACGTGTCAGGCTGCTGTTGCTCAGTCTTTCTTGTTTTCCAGGACTTCCATGACGTGCCACAGTTCTCATTATGCAAGACACATCAGAGAGACCTCAGAAAGAAAAGGGAGAGGGAGAGCAAGCAGAGCAAGCAGAGACCTGGCTTACCTGTGGTGTTTCTGGGTGGGTCCCTGGCCTGGTGAGGATCCATGGCCATGGCGGAGTGCGACCGCTCGGTGGCGCCTCGGCGAGCCCCGCAGCCCCTTTAAAGCGGCCCACGGCTGGTTCCCCCCCCCCCCCCCCCCCCCCCCCCCCCCCCCCCCCCCCCCCCCC